GGTGTTTCCAACGGATACCCGTTGGAAATTTTCAACGGAATTTTAACGGAAATCGTCGTTGAAACGCCGTTGAAAACCGTTGAAAATCCGTTGGAAATTTTCCAACAGACAAATCCATTGGAAAATCCGTTGGAATTCGAGGATTTTTTTGTAGTGCACGTCATGGAGAAATTTCTTTCTCCCGTTGTAATTCAGTTCAGGAGGAATGAGACCACTAACCAGGTAGTTGACAAAGTCGGCGTACCAAGGTGCTTCAGACTGTACGGATATGGCCATGAGCTGTTCGTCTCGAAGTGAATCATTGATCGGGATTGACTCGGGAATCTGTAATCTCGATAGATGATCAGCAACACCGTTTTCTGTTCCCTTTCTATCTCGGATCTCCAAGTCGAACTCCTGTAAAATTAGTGTCCAACGGATAAGACGTGGTTTAGCATCTTTCTTAGACAGTAGATACCTAAGTGCAGCGTGATCTGTGTAAACGATCACTTTGGAGCCAATGAGATATGATCTGAATTTCTCGAACGCGAAGACAATGGCAAGCATTTCTTTCTCCGTCGTAATAAATGGCATGGAGTTTCTTGTCCTTGCGATGTCCAAGAACTACGCCAACTGCATAATCACTGGCGTCACACATGATCTCAAAGGGGAGATCCCAATCGGGCGGTTGAATGATAGGAGCGGACGTCAGAGCTTTCTTCAGAGTCTGGAATGCAACGTCGCATTCAGCCGTATACTCAAATGTAGCTTCCTTGCAGAGGAGATCAGTGAGAGGTTTGGAGATTTTTGAGAAATTGATGTCGCAAATCTAGGTGTATAAATTTGATCAAGTAATAATATCCTAGACTCAACAATTAATCGCAAGTGTACGGATCGTGTGTAGTAGCTAGGGTCGAACACAGGGACAAGTAAACAACTGAATCAAATCCAAATCCAAATCAAGGTCTAGAGGAAATAATATGAGTGAGAGAATGTGACAAAACGAACAATAAAAACGGTTGTAACTATGAATGATAAACACTGCAGGCTTCGGGATTGCTTTACATGCAAGGATCTTTCAAAAGATGCAAACGAAGTGGTTTATCTATCCAATTCAGGGAACTCAAGCTCTAAAGTAGAGATTAACTCTCTCAAGTCTAATCTCACTATCCAGGCTTTATCCTACTAATCTCTCGATTCAATAGTCTAAAACCCTGGATGCATGAACGAACGCTATCATAATCCCTAGGCAAATATTCATCTCTCGATGCAATACCTGTTCTATTTATTGAGTTATTTCCAGTTTAGAATCCCATATGTCTATGCGAATTAAAACCCTAAGTTCATTCAATCAAGTGGCCAACAAGATCAAATGCATTAAACGCAACTCAATAAACTGAATAGAATAAATAAAACCACAAAGTCTGGAATTAGAAATCAAAGATCCCTACATAGCAAATCCCTAACCTACAGCAAGGGAACTACCCGCTAAACATCGAAACGACAGGGTTCATATCAATATCACAAAACATCATAAAATAGAAGAAAGGAAGAATGCTTAGTCGATTTCCCGGCTTCGTAATCTCCGTCTTATACTCCGATCTCTTGCCTGTTGATAATCTCCCCCTTTTGGTGTGCTCTAGGTCTATTTTCTATGTAAAGTCTGAATTGAATTTCGACCTAGAGGTTTTTCCCTCTTATTTCCCTTCGGTTTGGGCAAAATTAGAAGTTTTCCCGAATCTGGGGGTCAAACCGATCGTTTCGGTAAAGCCAAACCGATCGGTTGCACTTTCTGAGCAATTTTCCAATTTCTGCGATTCCGAACCGATCGTTTCGTCCATCCCGAAATGATCGTTTCGTGTCTTTGAGCAGTTTCGACGGGCTTCACGAATTCGCTCATAACTTATTGCTCCGATATCGGATTTGGTCTGGTGTCTATGCGTAGATATTGAGAAGAGCTTTCCAATGATGTAGAGAATGCATGTTTTGGACTCGTAGAGTGAAAGTTATTGGACTTGCAAATTCTGACGTTTTCTGAGCTTCACGTTTTCCCTGGAAACACTCCAAATGTTCTCGTTTCATCCGTGATGTTCCGTAGCCCATGTTTTCCACTCTTTTTGCTCTTTTATACGTGAAAACCTGTTTAAACACCAAAGAACACAACCATGTAATGTCAAAGCCAAATGTGCCCTAGAATGCCTACAAATATGTAAAATAGAGTGAAATACGCTAGACATCCTATATCAAAACGTCACCCAAAATATGTGTTATCAAACTCCCCAAGACTTAAACTTTTGCTCGTCCTCGAGCAAATATTCCGTGAAAAACAATCTTAAAGGAGGGTGAGACAATGACATAACTCAAAATGATAATCAAGAGCGAAACATCTATCCGACCTAGATCCCCGTGAAAAATGACCAAGTCTGTCTAATATGATCTCCCTCTCTAAAGGATAGTCTTTCCTAGCTATGGGATCTATACCGCTACCCAGAACCAATCTAAGGACTTCAATCATCTATCAAGCATGTTTCTCGAACCTATTATGCCATTCTACCTAATCGTATCTAGCCTATGCTTTCGGCATTCATTCTTTTTATCTCTCTCTCTTTTTTTTCTCATCTAGCTAGACTTTCTCTCTCTTATTTTTTCTTTTGCTAGCATATCGGGTTCCTAGGACGTTGAAGTTGAAGGGTTCCTAATCAATATTTTTTTCGATTTTATTTATTGGATAACCCGATGCACAACTTAGACCCGAACCATCAAATCGATGCACTCATGTCCTCGAACAATTTTCGTTGACGAGATAATGACAACGGAGTGTCGAGATGCTCACTATCTTTTTCTGCACATAAAGAAATAAGAATGCATTTGATAATAAACTTTATTGATTTCAACAAACATGGCAAAGGTTCTTATAGAAACTTTTCTATTTGGCCAGACAACATTGGTCCCATGGGTTCTAACCAACGATTTCTATCCCACAAGCCATTCTAGACAATCAATCAATTCAACAAAACATAACCACGTTCAACGGATCACAGTGTTTTCAGGACGTTTCTACTCTCTCATGTCATAGATCATCACATCAATGCTCAAAACGGTTTTATGCACGTGATCTTATATGTCCTAAACACTATATGAGAATGCACAATCCTAACAACAAACTATATGATCCTAATGCATCCTATATGCACATGCAACTAAAAAGTAAAAATAAAAGAGAAAAATGCATGCAACACTACTCTATATGGATATGGTTTAGCGTTAGACGAATCCTCCCCCAGACTTGAACTAGACACTGTCCTTGGTGCCAATTATCATCTAGTAGAGGCAACCAATAAGATGAGTCAAGAGAGAAGTAAATCAAAAAGAGAAAAGAATACTTAGCTCGCGATGTTCGTTCACTCGCACTTAAGTCTGCCTACGTCTATCGCATAGCTAGCTTCCTTGCCTCCTCAATAGCTCCTAATTAGAACTCAACCTAGTGATAAGAGACACAAACCAATATCCGATGCAAAAAGAAAAAGAAAGGGAAGAAAAACTAACCTAAGAACTCGGGTTGCCTCCCGAAAGCGCTTGTTTAAGGTCGTTAGCTTGACCGAACCTTCTCAGCTACCATACGGGTCTAACAGGCGAAGATTATCGATCTGTCACCAACCTGGATCATGAAGTGTATGAGAATGGTGGTCTAATAGGCTAGTGACCTGTTGATCTGAGTGAGAGAGGTCGTGAGCGCCCATGCGAGATGAAAGTGAGGCATTGTATCGTGCTGGGGTCTGAACCGATCGGTTAGAGAATGTAGAACCGATCGGTTCCAAGTTCTGTAACTCAGAAACTCGAAAGGGGTGCTCGAACCGATTGGTTTCACAATGTGACACGATCGGTTTCAGTTTCTGTAACTTTTTGCTTTGAACTCTGTTTTCGAAACGATCGGTTGAAGGTCGTGAACCGATCGGTTCAACTGTCTGTAGAATTTCGGCTTTGAGATCATGCTGAAACCGATCGGTTTCCTAGCCCGAAACGATCGGTTCATACTTCTGAGCTGAATTGTCGAGTGTGTTTATGAAGCAAGCGGATTCTGTTGATGACGGTTGTTTTAGATTTTTGTCCATAGTGAACTCCACCGTCTCATCTCCAATCTTCATTGTTAGTGTACCTGCTCTAACATGGATAACAGCATCTGCAGTGTTAAGGAATGGACGGCCAAGGATGATAGGTACCTTAGAATCTTCATCCATGTCGAGAACCACAAAGTCAACCGGGATATAGAAATTCCCGACTTTCAGCGGCACATCCTCGAGTATCCCAGTGGGGTATTTGATAGAACGATCGGCAAGTCGGAGAGTCATTCTAGTGGGTTTCAGCTCACCCACATTCAGCTTCTTGAAAATCGATGACGGAAGAAGACTGACGCCAGCTCCTAAATCACAGAGTGCACGATCGATGGAAACATTACCCAATTTACAAGGGATTGAAAAGCTACCTGGATCAGACCGCTTAAGCGGGAGCTCATGTTGGATCAAAGCACTGCATTCGGCAGCAAGCGCCATAGTTTCTTTCTCAGCAACCCTCTTCTTGGTCAGAATGTCCTTGAAGTACTTCGTGTATGAGGGAATCTACAAAATAGCGTCAGTGAATGGCATGGTTACCTCGAGTTTCTTCAGCATCTCAACGAACTTCGCAAATTGGCTGTCTTCGTTGTGCTTCCTCAGGCGAGATGGAAACGGTACTGGTGGTGGTCTAGGAGGAGGAGGTATATAAGCTGGCTCAGGTGTATCATCAGTAGTGTCTAAAACTATGGTTCTCGAGCTATCGCCTTGCTCAACCATCGGTGGATCTCCAGAATCTACCTGCTTACCACTTTTCAAGGTAATAGCATTGACATGCGCACGAGGGTTAGTCTCAGAGTTACCTGGAAGAGACCCAGATGGTCTTTGAATGGCTGATGCTAGTTGAGCAATCTGTTGTCTATGTTCTTGAAATGAGCCTCGATGCTTGCGAACTGAGCTCGAAATTCCTGATTCGTCTTCTCTTGACTCTGCAAAAACTGTATAAGGAGACCGTACGTATCAGGGTTAGATTCGAGATTACCTGAAGATGCAACATTGTTGTAGGATT